AGGATATTTTCCTTTGCATTTACAATCGACTTAAAATAAAGCTAATTTTAGCCATTTGCAAGCTTTTGGACTGATCTTTCCTTGCGACCTGTGAGAGTAGAAACCTACAAGGTGGTGGTGGAAGAATCATATAGGGTTCCATCAGGCCACCGAACCATGTCGTCATGTGGAAGATTCGTATTTCCTTTAATCGATTATATGAAGATTGTGACTCAAAAAAAAAAAAAAGATTATATGAAGATTGAAGCATCAATTGGATGCCTATTTTCAGATAATGAATAAATGAACTACTTTGTATTTCTTTTCCAACAACAATTTAAGCACAATGTTTTCAATGTTTTCAATTCTTCTGTTTTATTTCTGTCATTTTATTATTTTTAAAACATTGTTTAGAAACTGGTTTGTCAATTGGGTCTCATCTGGAATATTAAGTAAATCCCAACTGCATTTAAGAGGTTTTCTGCAACATGATTGATTTTAATTTTCTAAACAAAAGCCACAGCCACATTAACAAAATTAATATAATTTTGAGAAACAAAATCAACATAATTTTGCTGATGTAGTAGTTGTTCTTGCTTTGACAAAAAATTATAAACGCTTGTGATTTAGTAAGTGTTTTTGACAATATTGTTAGTTTTGTTTTTGAAAACAAAAACAATTACTATATCGATAAAATATATTATTTTTATTAACATAACAGTTGTTTGTATTTTTGAAAACAAAATCAATTATATTATCAAACAACCCTTTAGGCGTTTCGATTTCCTAGCTAGTATTAAAAATACGTTTTATTGAACAGATTTGAGTTCAGAAGTTTGCACCACTCTTCAGTTTGAAGAGGATGAGGAATTCCTTATATTCTTATCCCCAGCTGTTCTTGGACAGAGATGTAGAATTAGTTTGGTCATTGGGTCACAGGTATAATGGTTCAACAATTTGATTGGATTGCAACTTCAGCTCATTTAAATAAATTTAAAAATCAAAAAATTTGAAATGCTTTTCTAAAGCTAATTCATCACAAAATTCCAAATAATTAATATTAAAAAATGTGTTAATTAAGCAAATCTAAATTAATTTTAAAGCTATTTCATCACAAAATTCGAAAAAAAATATTAAAGAAAATTTGTCAACACTTAAAAACAGAATCGATGAGAGATTTGAGATTCTAGTTCCTCCCCAAATAACCCAGTTTCCCAAGGATGAGATGAAACAATGGATTTGGCCACTGGGTTATCATGTCTCCTTTATGGGGCCGCACCTCTTATCCTTGAGGCTTGTGCTAGAACTAGCATGTCTCATTTACTCTGAAAAAGCGCAGGCTGGTAAGAGGCTCTTAGCCTAGAAAACGAGATCAGGCTTTTTATAAGTTTAAATCAGTCCCTTACAACGTTTTCACAGTACATTGAGAGCATCTCCCAATGATAACATCATCATTTTTAAGATTATCATCGAAAGATATTCTTAATAATTAACAGCGGATGTACTAATATGTGATGTTGTGGGTAACAATCTTATAAGAGGCTGATTTAGTCTCGATTTTTCACATGGTAGGTACGGAAAACACCGGTTTGTAGGAAAGTTCTCAACAAATTCCTGCACAAGCGTTACAATTTTTAACTTGTCTGTTTGTGGAGTCCACACCGAACGCACCTTTCTTCCCACCCTAGGAGTCTAGGGCATATTTTCAACTTTCAACCAATGGATACGGACCACTGCAGATCAAAATGAGTTATCGGACAATTGGTCTGGTCTGGTAGGTGAGAGTAAGAGTAACCGAAACATGACAGGTAAAAAATTGAGCCGATATCTTAAAATATGTCTAAACACTCGTGTTGCCGAACACCTCATAAATTTTGAGGTTGGGTTGGGTTTGATGGTTGGGCAGGGTGCAATAAATTCTGAACAGGGACCAGCCCAAAGTGGTCCCTTGGCCTTTGCTTTTTGATTGAAAATAAGACTGAAACAAAATATTAAGAAAGTTGTTAAGAATTTTTATGAAATTATACTAAATGGGTTTGCTTTTGTGAATTGCTAGTCCAAGCATGGGTTTAAGGTATATATAGATCTTGAGTTGGTTAATAGTGATAATGAAGGAACTGTCTCTCCTCCTTGATTTGTGGTTTATCTAGATTATCTATAAAGGGCATATATGTCCTTTATTCTCATTTTAGAAACTACCCACTTATAATTGTCTAGAAATTGTCCATAAATTATTCAAAAATTATAATTAGTTTTATCTTAGATATATTATCACGTGTAAATGCATGTACATGTTTACTAGTTCCTACAAAAGAATCAATTATATATCCTTAACAAAATGATATTTGTGGTTTGTCACACTTTGAAAGAAGAAAATAGATGTGCCGATTTCCTTGTAAATGCAGGTATTGATTCTAGATGCCATGTAACTTTTGATACCGTTTCAAATTTTCCGATTTATTTTAGAAAGCTCATGCATGAGGATTATACTAATATCCCTATGTTGCGTATTGACTAGTAGAGTTGTAATGTGGCTTTCTTGTTTAATTTGGGTGGGTTTTGAGTGGGTTAAGGTGAGAGCGTTTTGTTTTGGGCTTGGGGCAAGGCGGGCTATATCCTCCCCTCTTATATTTAATTTTCCTTTCGAAATTTGTTAATAAAACTTGTAGCTGGCTGCCCCTCCACCTCTAATAAACTTTGGGGTCTTAAAAAAACGAGTACTTGGCTATTTGCGTTTAGAGTATTAGTTAAACAACAAAATATTTGGATCCAATTTTCCATTTTCAAACCAAATATAGGGTGCAATTTGGGTAATTTCGAACTAAATTGAGTTAGGGTTTGTCATAAAAAATTCTAACAAAATACTCAATCCAATTTGAAGGTGTCAATTGGCTCAATTGATAAGGTCTTTGACTGCTTGTAGTAAAGACTTAGGATGGGGTAAAATCCCACTTCACCAGGCTGGGGGTTATGGGTTCGGGAGATGGGCTCTCCTTTGTTGCATAGCAAGGAATCAAACGAAATAAATAAAAGAAAAGAAAAAACAATACCCAAAGGAAGAAATGAATAGATAAACAAATAAAACAAATTAATTGAGGATTAATTGGACTTGGGATTGTAAAGAGTTGCAGCAATTTTCTTTTTATATGAATAATTTTTTTTTTTTCAAATCAAACACGGCCTTAGTGATTAATTGTGATTTGCACCTTGCAATTCAAGGCTACCGGAGCTGAGCTTTCCATAACACTTCTCTAAAAATACCCATAAATCTTCATGTGACAACTTCTACTGGTCCTAATTAAATAACCGAGAACCTAGTTTGCATCCACATTTCCATACAATAGATTCAGTAAATGAATTCGATATGCTGAATTGAAGTTTGGGGTTTTATAGTTCAGTCCACTGAATCTGTTCGTGGATTGATGTCAAATTTACAGGTAAGATGCAGTTTAAAATCGAGAATGAATGATTTTTTTTTTGTTATTATGTTAACATCAAATAGATATTTAGATTTTATCAAACTATAATCTTATTTGGTTGAATTAATTCAAATTCAACTGTTTGTGTTGCTTTATATCTCATAAAAATTAGTTTAGGAGAAATACCATTTAAAAGCTTACAAAGCCAAGATGAGGAGAGGGATGATTTTATCTTATGTAATTGATATTTATGTGTACTAAACAATAATACATAATTTAGGGTTGGATTATAATACTTAAAAAAATCTAAGGAGAATGACTATTCAACACACCCTAAAGAATTAGTCCCATTGTACAATTGAAATAGGTGCAAACTCAGAATTGATATCAATACAGGGGCGAGTAGTACTGTTTTAAGGTGGGAGTTTTTATTGAATTATTTTAAGTTTCAATGAAATTCAAAATTCTGCAGTATGAAGCAATGTACTTTGCCAAAATATTTACAACCAACCGGTATATAACAATAGAACAACGAAAGGGTATTCATTAAAATTCATCACGTGTATTGATTGATGAAAACTCTTCTGGTATCATGCATCGTATTTATGCCCAAATCATATATTTTTTTTCTCAATTCTAAATGGTTAAATCAAGTACAAATATAATGCTGTAACAACATAATATCAAATTCCTTTCTAGAAGTTGAACTTCTTTTTCCTCGGGAGTCAATGCAGTTCAACCATTTGGGTCAACGAGTCACCCAATATTATTATTATTATGAAAATATTTCCAAAATTATAAAAAATAAAAATCCATTGAACAAGTCAGATGGTCAACAATTCAGTCACCTGGATCATGCGGATTAACATCGACCGTGCTCACTGCAAAAAATATCATAGGTCCCATTAGATAAAAAGCTCCCTTTGCCATTTAATCAGCGAGATCAAAGTCCAAACCCATTCTAATTAAGTTTCCATGCAAGCCCAAATTATAGTGGTCTAAAAAATGGTTAATTATTTATTGAATTAATTAATTAGAATTGATGGATTGATTGATTGATTTTTAAGACCAATTAAGAATAAAATTATGATTTTTTTCATGGCTTTAATTTCCATGGCAATAAATCAATAATAAGGTTCGGGGCTCAATACGCCTAAAATAATCTGGTTTCCAATAACTTGCCACATGCACATTTCGCATTAAAAGCATCAAGGACCTCCACTTATTTGGTACTATTCTACCTAGGAGATTATAGCCACGCCAATACTGGTGTAATGAGAAGATCTCAATCGTCCGTTCTTTCATAGCCTCCAACTAAAGATCAAAAGCATCAAATGGTTTCTATCCAGATTTTTCGCGCATCCAGATCTTAGTTGTGACCCATTTCCACATGTGACCCATCCTTGGGTGTTGGGTCCCGGCCCAGGACGCTCCTACAGTCCTACTCTTATTTTCAATTTTAAATCTTTCAGAGTTTTTGACTTTTGAAATTTAAATACGGGGCCCCGACCCGTATCGATCCGATCCCTCACGTCCACACCCTATGCGGCTATACCTATGTAGTCGGTCTCAAACGTTATAAATGCCATTTATGATTTTCTCTCTCTCTCTCTCTCTCCTCTCCTCAAATCACTCTCCGCACTCTCTCTTCTCTTCCACTTCTATTCTTCTGTTCTGTTTGTTATCTGGACTTGCAGAGATTCGAGTCCTTCGACCATTATCTATTAAACATTGGGCATTTCTCTGACGACGCTCAAGACAATCCAAACATTTCAAAATCCTTCGAGTTACAGCACTTGGACTGGTTGGAAGGTTTAATGGAGGTGAGATCCTTATCACATACTCATTACCCTTCTTTCCTTTATTGTTTCCCTCAGAAACTCATCTGGGTTTTCTCCAACTTCTTAGATTATGTAGATGCTTGAAGAAAAAAGCTCTCAAATGTAACTTCACTGAAGAACCCATATCAGAAGAGTCCAGACAAGTTAAAGGTTAGTTTCTAAACTTCAATTCCTTCTTCTTTCAGAGAATCTTGTTTCAATGAGACATCTAATGGAGGTTTACACAGCAGTACAGTCGACATGAGACTTTTCATTTTTATGCGAATATCTGGTTTTGTGTTTACTTTTTCTTTTCCTTTTTTTTTTTTTTTTCAATTTGTGGGTCAGATGACTGTTAAATCTCTTTTTGATGAGAAGAGGGGGTAATATACCAGAATCTCAACTCTCAAGCATAAATGGAAACACTTTTCGTGCAAAGCGAAACGCTCGATCTCTATTCTTTCAAGTGTTTGGCATCAACCAAATAATCCAAAAAGGAAATGACATCTTGATGGTGCTTCTCAAAAAGTTTTTCCAGCTTTTACATTTAAAAAAGTTCTAAATGGTTTCAGATTTAAAGCTCTTTCTCTCCATTTGACGAACAATGGGACCAACCCCAAACAGGGTCCCAGAAAGGCACACTGTGCCTGACTCGTCATTTTTGCTAGCTTCTGCTGCTTTTCAACTCGGCAGATCCGAGTTGACTCAGATTTAGCAAAGAGGATTTGAAATCTTGTATCAAGTAGAAATTTACTTTGATTTGTAATTTTTTTAACATAGAATGGTGTTTCTTTAACCTAGGGTGCGTAAGCTTGTGATCCCGTGCAGCGCTGTGTATCATTCGGAAGTTGTACAAAGCCATCATGAGGCCACTCGCTTGTTGTAGATTGGACAGAGCGATCAGCCTCGACTTTGACGAGCAAGATCGTAAGCAATCTCAACCCTGAACTCTATAGTTCTTAATTCTTTCTTTCTCCACTCTGTCCTTGCGATGTTCACTCATCAGTTATCATTACCATAGATCTCTATGGGACCCACGTTATTATGATCTTTAGCCATTCAATCCAGTATGATCTGGACTACCATTCTAAGGCAATTTAAAATTATGCTAATCATCAGATCAGATGGGATAGCTTGGACATCCAGGGGTGGGGGTGGGTCCAGCATTTGGCTCGAATCTTGGCTAGATGGCTGATAGCCGTCCGTGGGATGCCATGTGTAGGGCCCACTAATTATTAGATATGGTAATCCAGTTCCTTAATTAAGCTTTTTTCTGAGAAGCGTGGGGCCCGTCATCACCTAACTGGAAGAGCAATCTCAACCATCGGTTGAGTGGACTGTTTCTAGAAGGGGGTCAACTTATAGGACTGCTGGAGATAATTCCCATCTCGGTAACTTTGACTTTCAGATTGGAATCTACGAGATTCATGTTGGTGGGTCCTACACGGCAATCTCATCTTTTCCTGTATTTAATTTGTTCTTTTTTAGTGAGTGGGTCAAGCCATTAATGAGGGGAAATTGAGATAGCAATGAAGCACTGTAGCACTGTAGCACTGTAGCATAGACAAGAGGACGAGATGCAACGGGGTTTGCGTGGTTTCTATTAAATTCAAGCCGAAGAAAATAGTGGGGCCCTCAATTCCGGTACCATACTGGTATCGTACCGGAATTGAGGAGACCTTTTTTTTTCACATTATTTTAGTAATTTAAGAAACAATGTATCAGATGGGGACAGAGATGTCATTGTCAGGGTCTCAGGGAGGCTTTTCATTTGTAGAGGGAATATGAATTTTCTATTTGGATCGGCGCCAACTCCACGGATTCGATCTACTCCATTTCTGTGCTGTCTGCTGTTTTTGTTTTTATCTTTTTTCTATTACTTATTAGTATAGGTTCTATTTTTCTTATTTAAAAAAATGGAAAACATTATTGAACATTTGTTTTTTGAAAATGGAGTGAAATTGTGATAACATTTTTAGTTTAATTACGAAAAAATCTGTCTGTGTTTCTAAAACTATCAAAAATTTCTTTCGAAAGACAAAAAATATATTTAAATCTATATCTATTGATAAAAAGGCAAAAGGAGTTAGGGTGCAGCTTGAGTTTTCAACTTTACATTGGGCTTAGGCCAAAAAACTCAAGTCTAATATAAATTCAGGTTGGGCTTGGGTTGACGTCTTGGGTAGCCCGAGTCCGATTCAATATATTCTACCTAGAAATTGGGTTACAAAGCTCAACACGTTCAATCCAAAGCCCAGCTCAAGATGTTGGGTTAAAGCTCATGTTAGGCCTAGGTTGGTAAGAGAAAAATTATTGGTAATTTTCAATAATTATTGATAATTTTCAATAATTATTGATAATTTACTAATATATAACAAAAATAGAATAACAATAATTAATAATAATTTCCTAACCTAGGCCCGAGTTTACCAACTTAGGTCTAACCTGAGCTTAACCTAATATCTTGGACTGGACTTGGGCTTAGGCGTATTAAGCTTTATAGCCCAATTTCTAGGTAGAACATATTGATAATATGTAGACCTTCTATCATAAAATGTTGGCACAGGTTCAAATTGGGTTAGGTCAAGCTTAAACCGTCCAAGGCCTCAACCCAAACCCAACCTAAGTTTAGGTTAGCCTTAGCATTTTGGCTTAAACCCAGCTCGAAGTTCAAAAACTCAAACCCAACTTGTGCAAAAGTTTGGTTGAACTGGGTTGGGCTTGAGTTAGGCCCACTAAACCTAAGGTACACCCCTAGCTCCTTTTGCCTCAAATTCTTTTAACAATACTCACGCATGCAGGGTCCTGCCAGTAATTAATAGTACCAATTTTAATTTATAGTTACTAATAGTAATATTAATTACTAAGAGTAGTAATATATTATGGTATTTTTAATTATTCTCAAAATAGTTAATAATTATTGTTAAATTTTATAATAATATTTAAAAATTTATTAATAAATTAATAGTTATAGTTAATAATTCTTAATTATGAATTAATAAATTTTAAAATTCTTAATTTATAAAAATATTACTATTATTAATAGTAATAATAGTTAATTTAATAATCAATTTAATTACTCACGAAACAATTCTTAATTTTTAAAATTTAATATTAATAAAATAATTTATTATTATTGGTAATTAATTAATTTGTTAGTAATATTTCACTAATTAATTAATCATGAATAATTATTATACCATTAATATTAATTACTAAATATAGTAATACATTTTGGTAAGAATTAATTAATTAATTAATATTAATATTAAGTGAACTTTGGTATTTTTCAATTAGTCCTGATAAGAATTAATTAATTTTGGTAAACTATTAGTAAATTGTTGACAATATTAGTAGTTAATCTTTAAAATATTACTAAAATAAAAATGATTGATTATTAAAAACAGTAATATGGTTTGAGAATTTTTAATTAATCACGAAAATAATTAATTTATTTTGGTTTGAGTTATAATAAAATAAAATGAAATTATTAATTATAAACAATATGTAATATACCATTCAAAGTAAATGGGTTGGATTAATAAATACCAAACCATACCCGATCCAATAAACCACATCACTTTAGTTAAATGGATTGAATAGAGAGAGAGATGAGTTGAGCTAATTAAGGAGAATAGTTATTTGGATAGAGTGAGAAACGTGAGTTCTAGAGAGGGATTTTAGGTAAAATATATTGAGCTAATTAGAAAATGGAGATAGAGGAGAGAGAGTCAAACCTATCAAGGAGAATGCAGGGTTGGTGTAATGGAACAAGGAGAGGCATGGTGACGTGAACCATCTTGCTATGTATATAGATAGATATATATTAAATATTATTCATATTAAATATATATTATTATATATAACATATTTTCTATTATATATATCAAATATATTTACAATATTCATTATATTTTAAAATTTTTATTTATTTTAAGTAAATTTATTTTTCAAAAAATACTGTAAATTAAAAAATTTAGGGATTTGTGTCCCCGTGGGAAACCTGTCCCATCGGGGGTCGGGGTCACGATGGGGATTTATCTCAGAATTGAGATCCGGACAGAGAATATGATCCCTGCCCCGTTGCCATTCCTATTCAGTTCTCTCTATTAGAATGTTGTATTCTTTCTGAAAGAAACTATCAAATCAGTGGAGGAAAAACACGTTTTTAAAACCAAGAAATCAAAATCATGTTTACTTGATTTCATTTTCAAAACATAGACACTGGTGCATGCTACGCGACGAAGAACATGCTGTGTAGCTATCTTCTAAGGAAAATTGGTTTTCTTAGGGCCTATTTTTCTTGAAACCATAATATGCAGTCACGTTGGACAAAATGGGTAGGGATCTGCTGTCAATAAAACGCTCTCAATACGAACCATTGCAGCCATACATTGGGAACATCTCCTTCATCTTTCATGAAAAGATATTCTTATTGTGTGACTGTGATGATATTGGGATATGTTGGGAGCATCTTGTTGTTAATAAATCTGAACTTGGAGAACTTGGAGAACACTCATTTTTTTCTCAATTTCGACTATGATATGGGAAAGATATAATATCTTAAAATTTTTTGACTAATCAACTGGTATCATAAACATGATAGCTAATCCGGTGTCATTTATCAAAATTCATGTATGGATTTTGATTGATAAAAACCCTTAGGATACCATATCTTTTGTGTATCATAGATTTTCCCTTTTTATTAAGTCTGTTAGGCTGTGATTGGTTTGAAAGAAAAGGTAAGGCTTAAGGTGTAAGTTGGGCATCCGATTTGGATAATATAAAAGCTCGTTTGGGAGGGTTTCTGTGTTGATCGAACTGCATTGACTGAGTGGCCTTGGAAAAGTTACCACAAGTAATTTCACTGGAATCACAAATTTCACCATCAGACTAGGACCCACCATTTATAAAATGTGCGATGTCAGATCATGTTATAACTTAATTCCTGGCTTTTGAAATGTACAATGTCAGATTATGTATGGGGCTTACCGTGCAATGCCAGGACTTCAGATCAGCTACCAACACAGATGTTCCCAATATCTGACTGTGATAATCTGTTGGAACATTGTTGGGAGCGTTTTATTGACAGAAGATCCCTGTTTTGCTAGAAGCTACTGCGAAGAAGTCCTCACAGCGTGGAGCCTACCAATTACTCAGCCCTAACCTGCCAAAGTTGCACCCATAGTTTACTTCAGTATTATTTATTTGCACACTAGGCAGTTGGAGTTGGGACTAGCAATTTGCAAGTTGCAACTACCACTTGTTCGGTCAAGGGGGAGACTTTTGCATGTGCAACTGTGAGGCGTGAGCACATCAAGGCTCTCTCCTGATAGCGACAAATTTCATTGTTGCTTCTTGGCTCTTGCAATGCAGACTTGGCATGGAATCTCAACTGCCATTAACCATGGATGATCCATGCTAGTTTCTTTAGCTTGAAGCAACATATATCTATTACTATTAAAAGTACAACCCCACTTCGCTTCAATGCACGCAGAGAAGCCTCTTACGGGGGATCTCTTGCCTTTTCTTCCTTCTTGTTTTAATAAACCAGACTAGTGGTTTATTTCTTCTAAAATTTGTTTTGCTTTTCGAAAAAAAGTAACACTTATTTCTAAAAATTCAAAAAGTTACAAAATTTTAATGGAGTCTCAAGCTCTGAGAAGGGGAACAATGTGGGCTGGATGGGTTTTGGTTTTAAAGAAGATTGGGCCTAAATGGAAGGCTAATCATTGAAAGTCACTGAAACATTTTGGTTATATGTATATATATCATTTAAGGGGAAAAGAAGATGATTTGGAACTTATGGATATTGATAGTCTGCCTTCAAGAGATTATGTTTTCAAATCATGGAGATAGCATTATAGACAAAGCAGTCAATCCTAATATTAGATTTAGGACTTGCTTCTTAGGCTCAGTTTGGAAGTAGAAAAATACAAATATGCAGAGTGCAAAACCTTACATTTTGTATTATTTTGTACGTATTTGTACTGTACATATTTATATTTGTACTCCTTCCAAACTGAGCCTTACGGGTAAGCCAAATATCCCCCTTGAACTGTGGACGTGATTTAAGCCACTTTTCTATAGAGGACAGGGGGGTCTGGTTAGGTCCCACCTTTTTCGTAAAGAAGCAGGAATAAAGTCTGAAAAATAGAAAGGAAAAACAAAACAGAGTAGGTTGGGTTGTTTGATCCATAATCTTCCAGCCTTTTAGGGTCAATGGTCCTTTTTTATTTTTTATTTATTTTTTTTTGAGGGGGGTGGTACCTTGGAGCTACTAGCCCATTCCCCGAAGCCATAACCCTCCAAACATGGTGAAGGGGCGGGTTTCAATCTCAAGTCTCTGCTACAGTCACCCAGAGAACTTACCATTCTAGCTGTTTAGTTCTAACTTCTAAGGTAGGTATGGCCTTGAGTTGAAGTCATGATTGCATTACTACTAGAAACTTTCATGTTCATGTTGCATTAGGTGACTAGATTGTTCATTCAAGCAGTTTCTCCAGTTAAGAACAATGATTAGGCCCGAAATTTCACATGTCTGATTATTGAGTGTGCACTTTATTACCTTAAAGAGTACAATTAATTACAGTTATCAAATTATTTTCCATTGACAATGGAAACTTGTAGAATTTGGTGCAGAAATTGAATAATTAATGGACTGTTCATGAAAACATTGTTATACTTAGATTTCTATCTTTTGTTATATGATATGCATGGCATGTTTTATGCAAAGTTAAGTCAAATTTCAGGGAATTCATATTGGTATATTTGAAATTTATTGTGTCATTCCTTAGCAATTTATGTTACACGTAAACAAAATTTAGATGTAAACTTTCAGGGATAATGACATATGATGGCCTTGAGAGCTGCATTCGCAACAGTAGCTCTTATGACAATGAGAGTGGGGCAAGCAGAGCAGATGGTTGCCCAAGTGATTCCTTAGATGATGCCTCAAGTTGTTCTTCCACTAAAGATGTGTTTGGATCATTCTCCTCCCAATGGGTAATGAACAAGCAGAGTGATGATTGTAATGATGAATGGGAGGAGGTCTCGAACAGCCCTCAACATTTTTATGTCAAAGAGAAACCATCTTACACAATAAAATTTTCAGATGTAGAGACCATGAAAGAAAGATTTTCTAAGCTATTGCTGGGAGAAGATATTACAGGAGGATGCAAGGGCCTTGGCACTGCTCTAGCACTGTCCAATGCTATAACAAATCTTGCTGGTAAGAGAAACATAATCTTTCTTCAAGAAATTCATTGAAGTTGTTTATTTATTGTTATATGAGTCTTTATGGTCATTACCATTTTATAATTTAACTACTGATTGTACTTCCTAGCTACTAATCCTCAAGAATTTCTAAGATGGAGCTCTGTATTATTGGTTTGTATTATTTCACAACAATTCTGGTTGAACCTTAATGCATTTTATCATCAAGTCTTGACTGATCTGGGGAACAATGGAAAAAAGAACGTTCAAACCTAAGGATAGCAGAGTCTTAAATATTTGCAATAGAAATTATCAGACTCCTAAATACTTCTGATTTATTTCTAAGTTTGAAGATGCAATTTGGAGAGCTCATCATCATCAATCATCATCCAAGCCATATCTCAGCTAAATGGGGTTGGCTGTATGAATGCTGTTTTGCCAATCCATTCTATTTACAAAAAGACAAATCAGGATCCCTATTCATGCAATTTGAAGAGCTAACCAAGCTTATTTATTGCAATAATAATAACAACATTTTACCTTGTCAGTGCATAGAATAAATCAGGATCCCTATTCATGAAATTTGAAGAGCTAACCAATCTTATTTAATGCAATAATAATAACATTTTACCTTATCAGTGCATAGAATGGATATGGAGCTTATCTTTCCTCTTGAAATGTTTCTTCTATTCCTATATCATAAAATCATCACTTATGGCATTCCAATGAAATAGTAAACTTGTTCTTGCAGCATCAGTCTTTGGAGAGTTTTGGAAATTGGAGCCACTGTCTGAGGAAGGAAAGAGCATGTGGCGAAGAGAAATGGACTGGTTGCTCTCCCCTACTAACCACATGGTTGAGCTGGTACCTGCCAAGCAAAATGGCACCAATGGTGGGACCTTGGAGGTATTCTGTTTACTTCAAATGACTAAAAGTTTGAACCTATTTTATAATGTGGTAGGAATTTATTCTGAATTTATGGATGCAGATAATGACACCAAAAGTCCGTTCAGACATCCACATGAATGTTCCAGCGCTTTTAAAGCTAGACTCCATGCTTATTGTAGGTTTACCTTCAACTTTTCAAATGCTGAAAAGTTCATTTATTTAATTATCTACATTCATTCCCTCATGATGATTTTAATTGGACAGGAGATACTGGATTCTATGGTGAACACAGAATTCTGGTATGAGGAAGGAGGCAATAGAGCAGAAGGAAGGAGCATGACACCGAGCAGGAGGTGGTGGCTTCCATCTCCCCGTGTCCCAAGATCTGGACTATCAGTCACTGAAAGGAAGAAATTGATTCATCACAGCAAGATGGTGCATCAAGTTTTCAAGGCCACCAAAGCAATCAATGAAAATGTCTTGCTTGAAATTCCTGTTCCAACTATCATAAAAAATGCCCTTCCCAAGGCAAGGAAGCTATCACATTCACAACAGTCTTAATTTTCAGAAATCTGCTCCATTAGAGTGGTTGGTTGTAGTTATAACTGTTCCTACCTAGAAAATTTTTAATTTTTCCTCCATAAGTAATAATTTTCATAAAGGTACATTTTGCTGTTTTAAATGCAAAAGAGAATTACTGACTGACTATAACAGTAAATATTCTGCCTAACATGTCAGTTTGGGATCTACTTCTTAGATACAGCAAAAGACCTGGTGTTGATTAGTAATCTTAGGTTGCCTGAGGTTTTAGATGTTGGGGCCTGATGTGAACCAGTTTTAATTTTGAACTGCTAGAATCAGTTGTAGTCCACTGCCACAATATACCAAAGCAATTAATGTTTTTATTAATTTTCCTTTTCTTTGTTTCCAAGCAGTCTGGAAGAGCAAACCTAGGTGAGGAATTATACAAGGTTTTGAATGACGAATCGAGATCAGTTGAGGAAATGCTCAATTCTCTACATTTACAAAGTGAACATAGTGCTCTTGACACCATTAACAGGTTGGAGACTGCTGTATTTGCATGGACACAGAAAATCTCTGAGCAAACAAGTGGAAAATCTCCAGTCAGAAACTCATGGTACCATGTGAAGGATACAATCTCTGAGCTAGATAAGATTGAGTTATTATTGCGGAGAGCTGAATCACTTCTACAGCTGCTCAAGATCAGATTTCCAAATCTTCCTCGAACTTTTCTTGATGTTACAAAAGTCCAATATAACAAGGTAACAATGCTATAACAGCTTTAACTAAAAGGCTATTGGATATCATCACCATCACCATCACCATTACCATCACCATCATCATCATCATCATCATCATCATCATCATCATCATCATCATCATCATCATCATCCCAACTATATATGGGGTTGGGTACATGACTCCTGTTTTGCCAATCAATTCTATTTAAAGTCAAACTCTAAGGCTATTGGATGTATGTCTCTTATTTCTCTTCACTACCAATTCTCCAATATTTCCTACCATTCTTCAGCCAATTAGTGGGAAATCTCCTTCCATTAGTCCCAACTGTTATAGTTCAGGCCAATTTACAGTGTTTTGTCACCTATTCCACCTGATGATACTATTCTAATTATTGAGCCAAGCTGTTTTGTGTCATAAAAAATAGAGATGTGTGCACCTCCAATCCACATTGGAAGGCTTCACAAAATTGTCAGATATTCAACCTAAGAGCTGATTTATCACCATTTAACTAACTGTTAAGACCACCAAATGGTGAATAAGCTCTGAATGGACTATTTTACAATATAATCTTATGGTTCTTTCTCTCTGCCTTACTGATATTTCTCCTGATTGTTGTCACACATCTTCTTATTACCATTCAATAATCAAGTGGTCAAAATTGAGTTTCAGCATGAATCATCAAATTGGGTAGGTGAGCCACACTAGAATCAGAATAATCCAGAGGACCAATGGTATTGGTCCACCATAATATGGAATTATGGATCCTTTGTTTTTTATCAGAATTCTTTCTTCAGTTTAGCAGAATTAACAAATTCTTACATCTATCCTCTTTCAATTTTGACAGGACATTGGACATTCAATTCTTGAAGCTTATTCAAGAGTTCTTGGAAGTTTGGCATTCAGTATACTCTCCAGGATAGGTGATATCTTGCAAGAAGATGTGCTAAGCAATCCCAACTCACCTGTTGCAAGTTGTTGCTTTCCTGGAGTAAGTCTTACAGGAATATTTGAATCTCCAGCAGTAGACAGTCGCATCTGTCATTCACTCATCGATCAGATGAACAGGGTTGATGGGCAGTTTTGTGAATCTAGTCCAAGTAAATCTTCTGATGTGGTCTTTTCTGATGGTGAGACCAAAACAAGTTCAGTGACTTCAACACCATGTAGAAGCCGAGTATGGTGCATTGGTAGAGAAACCTGTAGGAGTGTGCCTCTTACAAATTCTCCTTGATAAATATAGATAATATCCCAAGTCTTCATGGTTGTAAATATAAATGAAATTATAAGTTCCTAATTAAATTAAATTATATATTTAATTCACATCTTCTCGAAGTGAATTATTCATGCCTGAAGAAACATGTATTTATAATTATATATATCCCAACCCATACCTCCAACTTAATTAGTGAGCAGACTTGATGCTCTACTAGAAATGGAAACTGAGAGACAAAAAATGGAGTTTCTACACCAAAGTTGAGTTGGCACACGATGTTATGAGGTGATCTCCAACCTTTCAATCCAAGAAAAAACAGTGAGGAGATAAGAGTCAATTACTCGATACTTGGTCTATCACATTGGTCTCCAATGTCACCTACAGACATAGGTGGTATGGCTAAGACAAAGTGCTGCTTAATTTGTATTCAACGTTGCCAATACATTCATTGATTTGACCCAACCCAATACAGTTAACCTCTTAATTTATGGCAAGTCTTAACAGCCTAAGTTCAATGATATATGTAATGATAGTGCTGAATTTTAGGGTGTGTTTTGAATTGTGGGTTGCAAAAAGTATTGTGCATTCTAGAGCATATCCACCTGGAACAAACCTGTGTGGCGTGTTCTGAAAACACCACCACAAGAGATGTTTTCTTTGCTTTAGTGTGCTTAAAAGAGAATATTCCTGTGTAGCATTTGTTCAAAAAAATTTAAAATATCTTTAATCAAACATTAGACGATGTCTTTTTTTTTTCTTTTCTTATGTTTGTAGGTTTTTGACCATTCTCACCTTCGATTACCTTATAAAAATTACCACATGCAATTAATCTATATAATTACCACACGGCCATGCAATTTATCACATGTATGTGATTTATGATTCACATGAGGTTCTAATTCGCCATATGTATATGATTTTGTGAATCACAATAGGTCCAATCGTTATTTAACATTCTTTTACATTAAAAATCAACAATTCAAATTACCAACTGATTAATGCATAGATTACATGAAAATATCATGAATAACAAATTGAAGATAAATGTGTTTGATAAAACTGCCATGGGTTCAACTATATATTATAAAAATGCAAAGTAAATTACTCAGTAAACAAACCCAGGTTTTACACAAGAACATAAATGTTTGATATTGGTTTTTTGAGTTGCACTAGCATATCATGATTCTTCTTCAATTTTCCAACATTTCCTAAGTGTATTATGTTATTTCATATTTCACATTAACCATTAAAATGTGTTTCATATCTTATTTATCATCATTTGAACCTGTACTTAGGCCATACTTGTTTTTCGGAAAGTTGGTTACTCTAGGTAAGTGCATTTATCCATGTTTTTATTTCTCATGTAAATAAGGCAATAACAATTTTAGTTATAAAAAACCATTATTAAAAGGGGCAATTTTATCCCATCCAAGTGTTGGTAACTTTTCCATTGATATCACTTTCTATAGATCCATATAAATCTGAAAAAGGAACATGAATATCTTGGTTAATGGAAACCAACATCCTATTGACCAACTTTCTCCTCTCTCAAAATCTAAAAAATGAATGGGCATGGGTCCTTAGTGTTATTAGGCGAGTTCAGATTTGCGCCCCACAACATCCCACTGCACATTCCCGCCATGTATTGAGAACATCTCCCGATGATAGTACAAAATCAATGATGTCATCATGGAGAGATGTTCTTAATACACGGTGGAGATGTGCTGTGGGACAATGTGGAGCACCCCCTTGTGGGGCGCAGATATGAACTCTTATTAGGCATTTATGGGACTTGTACAAGTTTTCCCTAACTTGTTTATTTGAAAGTCAAAATTAGTGCTATTGTTGTGTTTTTGAGATTTATATAATTTTCTTTAATGTATCTATGTATTTTTAATTTTTTCACTATATCCATGTATTTCCTGAGTGTATCCGGAGTGATCTCTTAAAATTACCTTTCCAATAGTATTTGCGATATAAAAATTCTGTACCTTTGTCCTATACATGTCTACAATTTATTTCTATAATTGGCATGGCCCTTTGTAATAATTTTCTACATTGAAACATGGCATTGCCACATGTAAAAGAGATAAGAGAACTTTGCGATTGTGATACAGACTATGTTGAATATGATTTTGGCATATATTGCTGTTGAAAACCCTTTATTATTTTTGTTCGCCTATTTTTCCAATCAATCACTCTTTATTCTTTTGGTTCCCAAGAAAAATAAATTAATAAACACACTTACAAGGGTAAAACATATAGATGGTTACAAAATAGTGAGGATAATTTAAAAAAAATAAAAATAAGAGTTTTGAAGACAAACTAATAGACTTTAATTAAACAAAGATAAAGAAAATAGAAATAATAATGAGGGATAATTTTGAAAATTAAAATCATGGGTCTCGATCGGATTAGAACTTCGAAGACAAAGATTCCAATCCTTTTATAATGGGGGCTTAAAATGCGAACACAGATTCTATAATTGGGCCGAATTGGTTTTGGTCAGTTGACTTGCATCGTTTGGTTGATTTCATTCACCTAATTCTTTGTCATGTTTGGAAAAAAATAGTTTTCATGACAGTACCAAACATTTTTTGTAGGGCTGCTTTAGAATTTTCATTTACAATTTTAGACCTGCAGAATGGAGAAAAGACCATCTACAACAGCTGTACGAAGAATAAGAATGATCTGTTACACGTTGAAGGGGCTAGAACAGCAGGGGATTGACTGAAAAAGTAAGGGACCGGTCTTGGGTTGGAGTCCGTCCAAATTAGAATTATTTTGGATGGATTGGATGAACCAATAAGACATATTGAATTAGATCAATCCAGATTTAATGGTTCAAAGTATTTATTGGATTGGATTGGATCAGGTTCATCCATAATAGATTTATATTATATTGGGTCAGATTAAATCAATATAAATCCAATCCATTGATAAAAGATAAAAATACAAGTGTCAATGGACCAGGTTTAGGTTGGAACCAACATAAATTAAAACCAATTTGAACAGATTTTCCAGAGTACGTATTCATCGGTGGATTGGACCCGGTCCATCTATAATGGACTCATATTGGACCAAATCTAGTCCAATCAACACCCCTACTGAAATGGACCGGGTTGAAATATTAAGAAATGATTTAATATTCTTAACAGTACTGGATATTAGGGGTGTCAATAGACCGATTTTGGATTGGACTCCATTCAAACAAAATTCAATTTAGATGGATTAAATGGACCAACAAAACATATTGAATTGGACCAATTCACACTTAATGATCCAATGTATTTACTTGGATCGGATTCATATTACATTAATTAGATTGGATTGAGCCAATATCTGATCCATTGATAAAAGATGAGAATATAGGTATCAATGAATCAGATTTGGATTAGAAATAATCTAAATTAAAACAAATTTAAACAGATTGGTCGGTCCAGACAATGAATTATTGAACCAATCCAAAATGTTCATTGGATGGGCCGGATTGGACCTAATTAATTTGTGATGAGATTGGACCAAATCCAGTCCACCCTAGCATTAATTGAACAGAAGTTGATACAATTAATGCAATCAATGCAAGCACCTCATGAAAATGATCATGGCCTTGCAGGGGGGAGTGACTCAAAAGTCTTTCATCTTCTGTATGTGCAACACATGTATATATAGAGAGAGGAATCAACACATGTTTTATGTATAAATATGCAAAGTTGGGTAAGTTGGAACTCAGGTCAACAGAAATCCCGTGGATCGAGGTATTTATCGCCTTGTAAGCAAGGGTCCTAGTAATAGTAGAAGCTAGCTAGCTCCAGTTTTGGTGGTTGTAGGGTCAGTTCGTTCCCTTCAACAACTTTGTCTTGTTTTGCTTTCAGGGATTTTATGTCTTGAGATGATCATAAAACCCTGTTTTTCCAGCAGAGATGTCAACCTGCATGGCTGCATGGAGATGGAAAGGGATGGCGCTCCTCAAGCTTAAAGGTGCTCTAACAGATCCTTCAGGTCGGCTCTCTTCTTGGGTCTGGGTACGTGAAGATTGTTGCAGTTGGAGAGGCATCGATCCGTTGCAGCAACATGACTGGACATGTGGTTCAGCTCAATCTCCTGATGATCCTTATATTGACCCATTTGCAGCTTATGAAGAATCAACTCTGGACGGTAAGGTAAATCATTCGTTGCTCAATTTGAAATTTCTGAATCATTTGGATTTCAGTGGAAACGACGTTGGAGGTATTCCTCCCAAGCTTCATTTGGAGGAAAAGTTCCTCCTCCTCAACTTGGAAATCTTGCCAGCTTGAGCCATCTACATCTTTCTTTTCCATATCCTTGTCAATATGTGGGCAACCTTCATTAGTTCTGTGGTCTCTCTTCCTTAACATATCTTGACATGGAGGTTTTAATACGAGTAAAGTAGCCAAAGACTAGTCCGGAATTTCTGCACAATGGTTCCTGAAGACCTTTTGTACATCTAATATGAAAGCACTCTTTTGTGCTTGTAAAAGTAATAACGTTTCAAAAGTCTTCCTTATTTTTAATATATTAAAATTTTAAAATAAATAAAAACGCGTGAAAGGAGAATAAGAGTTCCGCCTGATAAACCATCGGAATTAAACCATCTGAATTAAATTCTTATTCTCGGACTGATAAACCATCGGAATTAAATGCGTGAACGCTGAGACAATTCTCCGACTGATAAACCAACTGGAATCAACAATCAAACAATGGAGAATAAGAGTTCCGCATTGACTCAGGAATTAAACACGTGAACGCTTGAGACGATTTTCCTACTGATAAACCAGGGAATTAAACGCATGAACGCTGGGACGATTCTCTGACTGATAAATCATCGGAATTAAACGCATGAATGCTCCCCTCTCCTTTCTCCCTCTTTCTTTCTCCCCTTCTTCTTCTTCTTCCATTGCCGGATCGGATCGAAGGAACTGTTCACCGTCTTCTTCCTCACAAAAGTTAAGCAGCGGCGGTGGGGAGATTTCATAGCAACAGATATATCCCCCATGTTTTCATCTAGATTTCTGATGATTTCTCACCATTTTTTTAGGCCCATAAAGTGGGCCGTCGAGCTCAGCGAATACGACCTCCAGTACAAGCCGTGAACTGCTATCAAGGCCCAAGCCTTAACTGACTTTGTCGCGGAATGCACTTTCAGTACAGAAGTCCCCAGGCCGGTTGATCCCGAGGCCCCCATGTCGGATCAACCCGAGGTTCCCAAGCCGGTTGAGCTCGAGCACCGTGAGGCAGCAACCAGTGCGGCTTCTCTCCTAGTTAGATTGAACCCGAGCTGGGATGAGGAGTCTTGGATCCTTCATGTGGATGGCTCATCCAACCAACAGGCCAGCGAAGCTGGAATCGTTCTATATGGGCCAAGCGGGGTGAAACTGGAGTATGCACTACGCTTTGAGTTCACGGCATCCAACAATGAAGCAGAGTACAAGGCGTTAATAGCCGGGCTGTCTCTAGCAAATGAAGT